ATTTGAAACTATATGAAATTGATTTAAAAGGAGGTTAGAGTAGCAAAAAAAAGCATTTCATATCTATTGGGCATGTTAGATAATATATAATAGTTATATTTACCTTGCTGATGGAGGTGCAGCTCAGGATTTAGAACATTAGTTCATATGGCTAGTAATATACTAATAAAGAAGTATTATTATCTAAAGCTGTATGTATTCTCAAATATTTAGTGTTTGGAATTTATCAAGACACCAGGAAATGTTCATTTGGGGTTGCTAACCAATTATTAGCTTTGAAGTATATTAGTATTATTAATATTAGTATATTAGTACTATTGTTATATATCTGTAAACTTGTTAATGAGCTCAGCATATGTACATGTAGTCCTTGTTTAGCAACTGCAGTTGGGTCCAGCAACCTGGTCATTAAGCAAGGCTGTTACTAAGTGAAAAACCATGTGACCACAACTGGATGTACAATTTTACTTCAGTTTATCTTCACTTTACATTGTCAGATATGACCCCAAAAAGCCAGGTGAGCCCAAACAGCAGGGAAGGTTTTCCAGCACTCAAGTCAAAGGGAAACCAGGTAAAAGGGCAAATCTTACAGAACTTTTACCCCACTTCGCATCCTTTGGAATTCTTAGCCCAGCACTGGGAAAATTAGCAAGATGGGAATTAATGTTTGTATTTACATTCATTGGAGAGGAAGGAGTTACTAGGAAGTAATCAGGAACACACTGGGAAATACGCATAGTAAGGAATATGCTAACTCCAGCTGTTTGCTTCAAGCCATTAATACCTTAGGAGGCAAAGAAAAGCCTTTAATGTGAAACCGATTAGGATCTTGTCAGTTTCTGGCAGGTGGCAGATTCTAATCAACTAATTAAGATCACATACCTGAACTTATTAACTCGTAGATAGCACTTTTTTTTAGGGAGATGCTGTGCTTTGGAGAAAAGCAGCTCAAGATAGCTCAATTTAGGAAATTGGAAGGGGGGCATAGGACTATGTAATATTGTACTGATTGACTGACTGTAATGGTGAACATATGGCTGAGACAGATGCTGTGAAAGTCTTAAATGCTGGTTGACAAGTCACTTTTTCATCACCACTGTAACTGAATGGTTGCTCTCCAAGCCAGTCACTAAACAAGGACTGCCTATATTTTAATAGTGAACCGTGTTTCTTTCAATTGTTATAAATGCTAGGGGCCATCTTGTTTTCACCAACTGCCACTGTGATTTATCACTGTCCCCAGATTTTGAAAAGACATAATCAGGAGAAATGTGAATTTCTGAATCTGAATAGGAAAAATTGAAGGTATACATTTAGGAAGGAGAAGAGCTGGATTTGGAAAAGGATTTGTGTGTTCTTATTGATCAGAAGTTAAACCTGAGTCAATAACGTGATGCACTTGCTAAAAAAGGCACAACTCGTTGAATACTTACAAAAGTGTACAACCCAGATTATGGGAAGGAACTGTTCTACTCTGCTCCGCCCTTCAGATCCCGCTTCAAAAACTGTATCTAGTCTCACAACCACTGACAAACTGGAGCAAATTTAGAGACTACCAAGATATCGAAACCAAACAACATCAAGAACAATTCAAGTGTCTAGATATGTTTAATATACAAGAGACCTGAGATATGACTATAGTCAGTTAAATATTTGAAGGACTGATAGATAGAAGGGGTAATAGACTTATTATCTAATGCTTCAAAAGATTAAAGTTTCAAGGAATTAGATTCAGGCTAGATGCCAACTTGAACTGCTAGTTGGGAATTCTGTGAGTGAAAATCCACATATCCCCAAACCACTGTCTAGGATCCAGGATTGACAGAGGTTTGGACTAGATATTATTTTATAATCTTTCCAACTCTATAACATCTAAATTGTTCTATACAGGTAGTTCTCAACTTACAACAGTTTATTTACTGACTATCTGAAGTTACAATAGGACTGAAAAATGTGACTTATGACATTTTCCACACTTATGACTATTGCAGTATTCCCATAGTTATGTGATCAAAATTCAGACTCTTGGCAACTGACTCATATTTATGACAATTGCAGTCTTCCAGGATCATGTGATCACTTTTTGCGACCTTCTGACAAGCAAAGTCAATGGGAGAGCCAGATTCACTTAACAACCTTGTTACTAACTTTACAACTTCAGTGATTCACTTAACAACTGTGGCAAGAAAGGTGTAAAATGGGACAAAATTTACTTAACCAATGTTTTGCTTTCCAACAGAAATTTTGGGATCAATTGTGGTGTTGACTATCTGTAATATTTAAATCAGGGCAGGAACACGTCAGTGTATAGGCAAGTTGTCCCAACCCAGTTCTGAGAAGAAACCCAAATAAGTTTGATGAAAGCCTCTTGAGAGACAATGAAAACTATTAGAGAAACATTAAGGGTCAACTAACTATATTTCGCTCCACTGGTTCTCTTTGTGTTTCTTTTTCCAAAATGGCATACTTTGATATAGAATTTAAAAATTATATCTAGACATTTATATTTTAGGTTTTACATATTTAATTTTACGTATTTAATTTTATCCCTTGTGTTGTTATTGAAATGTGATGTGAATGTGCCATACAATAAATATAGAATTAGCACTATCCAAAAAAAAAAAACCTTAGCCGAGTCTCTCTCATTCTCTCTCACACAGACACACACACACAACACATACCCTCACACACACTCACAAAGATCTTTCGATCTTAGTATTAGAAACAACTCTGGCATAAATCATTAGCCAGAATTGTGGAAAGCTTTTCTCTGACATGATGCAGAGTGCTGTACAAAAGAAGGTCAGTGTCCATTACATAACGCAATCTTTGAATTCCAGATTGTGAAAGAGGGTGCTTCTTTTACTATGCAGATCAATAAGGAAGCAAACTAGTTTAGAAATTAGACAAATTTAATTTTCATTACACTGCAATGATGCGTCATATGGAAATATTATTTCCTGAGTTTATCCAATGCTTTCACAGTTAACCATGGAGTATATTACAAGTGTAACAGTAATTTAACAGTACTTAAAAACCAACATTATTAAATGTACAATATATAAAAACTTTAAGTGCAGCACCCAGTCTACATGTTTTTATCATCACTACTCACTAATTTAAAAGTGTATAAAATATAGAAAATATATTTAAAGGCAGAATGTGAAGTTATTTGACAGGCAAATTTTGGAAAATCTCATTATCCTTCTAAAGTTGTTGGATTTGTATTCCTACTCCTTCGGTATTAATACTGATCTTCAAATATTAGATAATTCCTGCTTTATATAATGTACTGGCCTAAATTACCAAATTTTGCTTTTTTAATGAATTTCAATGATATTAATAGTTTTCCAAGGATTTGTAAGATGTTCAGTTCCTAAATGTAAGTTTAAAATGACTATTGTAATCATGGGTGATCACATGAGAACTTAACCACAATAGTACGCTATAATTTAAAATAAAAACCTAAATTTGTGGCCCTAAGTTGTACTGCCATCCAACATTACATGAACTAGGTCCTCCAAAGTTCAAGATATAAGACTGTTTAATTGGTATTTACTGTATATGTATGTGTTTGTGCATTGCTCTCTCCCTCTGAATATGTATGAGAGGCCTAACATTAACGGATGAGCTATTATTTGCAACTGATAATGGAAAAATATTTATCTGGCTATAAAAATCCCTTTCTTCACTTTCACCTTTATTTCCTTATATAAGATAGACTGTGGAATATATGTATCAACAACAAAAGCTACTCCAAGTCTATGCTGATTTACCAAGCTCTATGGATCTAGCTCAGGGGTCTTCAAACTTGGCAACTTTAAGACTTGGGGACTTCAACTCCCAGAATTCCTCAGCCAGCCAGGGCTGACTGAGGAATTCTGGGAGTTGAAGTCCCCAAGTCTTAAAGTTGCCAAGTTTGAAGACCCTTGATCTAGCTGCTTGGCTACAGAGATAAGAAAATTGATCAACATGGCACATACTTAAATATTTCACAGTTATCAATTAAGTGCTCCTCCGGATCTTTTTCTCAAGCATTCAAGGTGACCAGAAAAGGGAAAGGCCCCCATGGGTGCCTGTGTTTCAGCCACTTCTTCTATTTTCAAGTTGAACAGAAGCTGTAATTATTTTAACTGCAATGGTCTCCAATAGCAGATGCAGAATAACGATTCAAATGATGACTCAAAAGGCCAAGGATGATGGACTGGCACCAAATCCTGCTGTTTAGTTCCATGCTTAACAGTATGGGAACAAATCAAGGTGGTATTTTTTTAAATGCACTAATTCCTTGTTTTAAAGATAGCAAAAGGGAGGTTTATGCTTCCTTCTCTGCCAAAGTATAGCAAGGAGACCATTCTTTACTAGCTCTTCACAGCACTTTCATGTAATGTATCCTTTCTGATCAAAGGAAGAAAGGAAAGAAGGAAACTCCAGATTAAATAACCTTCATTCTTAAATAGACGTCCCCATAATATTACAAAGGGTAACAACATTAGAAGCAACCCCAACAGTAATGAGTTACTATTCATGTCCTTTGAAGTTTAATTCAAACTGTTAAATAGACAAAAAAAGCTAAAAACAAAAAAAGGCAGAACAACGAAATTTTTCTAAAAGAAACCTATTCCAATTTTTTGTGTGACTGCAAGTAGGGACTTGGAGTTGTAAAAGTACTGAAAGCTCCCTCAATGCCCTTTAAATTCAGCCTTCTATTAGTCACAAGGCTTGGCAACAAAGATGTATCCTCTGGTTTTGGAGGACAGTGTGCAAATATTGCCTAAGTGGTTTGTTACACTGCAACAGAGCAGCAATTTCATCTAAGAACTTCACAGAACTCAAAGCATTTATCCATTTTAAAAAAAAAATTCCATCATTCCATCGTTCTCCTCCAAGGTTCTAAAGTTTCTTTGTTGTAAAGAGAGGGCACTAATATGCTGATCAGTGACAAGTGCCTTACAACAGTTATAACCAAAGCTAACCTTGGATTAACAAACATAAAATGTACATTAAAGAGCTGCCTGAGGAGCTGGCTGGAAGTCAGTGGATTTGGTAGCCTGAGCCGTGGCTCTACGCTTAGCCAGGCGGGATTTAGAGGGAGGAGAAAGCTTCATGGAGCATATGGCCTGTGTGAGACTTTCCTGTTCTTCACTGAGTTGATTTTCATGCTGGGAGAGTTGGCGGTTCAGAGCAATGGCTTCAGCAGCAAAAAGAGTCAACTCTTTTGTGCTGCTGTTCCTGCGGGGAAAATTGAGAAAAGAAAATTAGTTTAGACCAGAGGAACTAACAATCTAATTGTGAAGCCCATCGGAAAAAGACAAGTTGTCTCTTCATTATCTTCCTTATAACCAAGTTAGTTTTGTGATTCATCTCCAAACAAGAAGTGATGGGAACAATTAGTAGCTCTTCAGACACAAGAAACAATGTTTTCTGGGAAAGTTTTACCAATTCATTGCAGCCCTTTGCTTTCTCCCGAAATTCCTCTGGTTGCAATGGATCCATCTTCTAAGCCAGTGCTTCTCCAACTGGTTTAGAAGATGGGTCCATTGCAGCAATTCTGAACCTTGGCAACTTGAAGACTTGTGGATTTCAATTCTCAGAATTCCCCAAGCAGGATGGGGAATTCTGGTAGTTGAAGTCCACACGTCTTAATGTCACCAAGGTTGGAAACAGTTCTAATCACTTTTTCAATTCATTATGACAAACCTCCAGAAAAACTTACCTTTGAAGAACTTGGGGTGTAGGCAATCCTCTTTCAGAAGCATGCTGAAAGCAAAAAAAAAAAGTTGCAGTGTAAGTGAAGCAACCCTGGAGAAAAACTTTACTAATCAAAGGATACTCAACCTTCACAGTTCATTACTTTGAACACTCTTCACATGTTAACAGTGAGATGTTATGTTGACTGACTAGATATTGGCAATTACAATGTCCAAAGAAACGTTCATTAAAGAACAATACATTTATATTAATAGAATTTGGTTTTTCTTGTACCAAACAACCCTTTGCGATTCAAAGGAAAACTTTTAAGTACTCAGTAATCAAGAATATTTGTAGATATAGGAAACCAATTGTAGATCCATCTGTTTTACTTAGCTAGAATAAGAGAGGTTGAGTGACTCTGCACTGGGAGATAGTTTGTAGTTTGCCATTAGGGATCTGGACTTGTGTGGTATAAGACAGCATCATTATTTTCACATTTTTAGCCAAGATCTCCCCCCCACCACCACCACCACCATAGATATGGTTTTGATGACAGCTGTTTTCCGATTATGTTATTTTGTAAGATTTGGTTCACATGCATAAATGGCATATAGAAATAGGGGGCACCACTTACGCCTTGTACCCAGGAATGTTCTTGAACCTGGGCAGCGCCAAGCCTCAGTTTGGCATCACGAACCAAGAGCTTTGAGATGAGATCTTTGGCTTCACCGGAGATGCTGGACCAATCCTTGTCAGGAAACTCATACTTGCCTTCCTGGATACTCTCAAAAAGCTTACTCTACGGGGAAAAAATATATATTTGGGTTTTGCTGAGAGTTCAGAATTAAAATTTCATTTTTTTTCTGGTCCTCTTTAGAGCTCCCCACCACCGCCTCCCACTATGCAGATGAAACTTTGGAAATATTTTTGCCATATCTTTGCACTTAAATTCCTTCGGTTTTATGGAAAACTGCATTTCACTGTTTTTCAGAATACTGTTTTTAAATATATTTACAAATATTTTTGAATGGGTTACAGTTTAAAAAAATATTATTCCCTCTCTACATGCAACAGAAGCCAAACTGGGAATCCTAGGAAATGTAGTATGGAGAACATGATCTGAATATAAAACCTAAACATTCATTATGAGTTTATAAATTCAAACTGAAACAGTTTTGAAAATAGCTTTAATTGCCTTCATTCTTCAAGTCTATAGATGTCTCAGAAGATATCCAAATAGTTTTAATGAAGCTCAATCAAATAGGCTACATCAGGAGTGGGGAACCGTGGCCCTTTTATGACTTGTGGACTTCAACTCCCAGAATTCCTGAGCCAGGGATTCTGGGAGTTGAAGTCCATAAGTCACACAGGAGCCACGGCTTCCCACCTCTGTGCTACATTATTACATGTCAAAAGTATACGGATTACCTGACAAACTTTGCAGACTTCTCCCCTGTCCCAGCCACAGTCTGTACCACAATTACCCACAAATGGAGGGTAGCCACTTAGCATGATATACAAAATCACACCTAGGCTCCAGAGATCGCATCGCTTGTCATAGAATGTGGCTTCCTCTGTGAAGACCTCCACCACCTCTGGTGCCATGTACTCTGCAGACCCACACTAGCAAGAGACAGAACTCATCTCAGAAAGTTGCAGAAAGGAAGCATTCACAATACAGGAAGTCCTTGCTTAATGACTGCCTCGTTTAGTGACTGCTCAAAACGTGTAAATAAACAGCTTTGTAACCATGCCTCGCACTGACTACTGTCACAGCATCCCACGGTCGTGCGAGTGCCCTTCCCACTTTTCACAACCTGCTTCCAACAAGAAGAGTTAATGGAAGTAATACTGCAAGTGGTGGTCACATGATATCTCACTTAATGACCAGTGACTCATTTAATGACTGGATAGGAAGTGATTCCATAAGCCTGATGTGATTATATGATTTTCTGCTTAGTGACAATAGTGCTTTCCAATGGAGCTGCCGGTCCCAACTGTGGTCATTAAGGGAAGCGGAGCTACCTGTGCCGTTAATATATAACTCTTTTTGAAAAGGCGGATCCTCCCAAAACCCTGCATGCAATACACATTGTTAAAGTTAAATGCACTATAGGGAGTCTTCGACTTACAACAGCTCACTGAAAAAAGTGACTTGACCGGTTTTCACATTTTACAACCCTTGCAGCATCCCCATGGTCACATGATCAAAATTCAGATGCTTGGCAACCGTTTCACATTTATGACAGTTGCAGTGTCCCGGGGTCACGTGATCATCTTTTGCGATCTTCTGACAAGCAAAGTCAATGGAGACGCCATCGACAAACTTAACAACTCAAGGGGGGACATGATAGCAGTGTTCCAATATCTCAGGGGCTGCCATAAAGAAGAGGGAGTCAAGCTATTTTCCAAAGCGCCTGGAGGCAGGACAAGAAGCAACAGGTGGAAACTAATCAAGGAGAGAAGCAACCTAGAACTAAGGAGAAACTTCCTGACAGTGAGAACAATTAACCAGTGGAACAACCTTCCTCCAGAAGCGGTGAATGCTCCAACACTAGAAGTTTTTAAGAAGAGACTGGACAGCCATTTGTCCGAAATGGTATAGGGTTTCCTGCCTGAGCAGGGGGTTGGACTAGATGACCTTCAAGGTCCCTTCCAACTTTATTATTATTATTATTATTATTATTATTATTATTATTATTATTATTATTATTATTATTATTATTAAATGGGGCAAAACTCAGCAACATAAATTTTGGGTTCAATTGTGGATCTTAAGTTGAGGACCACCTGTATTCCAAATTATATGATTAGTAACATCTCATAGCTATTTTGAGTGACTATTCTTTCTACACAAAGCTGGCAGAGTATTAAACCCAATGCAGGAAATCCTGCTGCTTTTAAATCAGTGTCAGTTTAGTAGCCGGATACTGGCAGATGCTGAAAAAGTCCAGAAGGATGGAGGAAGGAGAGGATGATCTAAGCCAGAGATGTCCAATCTTGGCAACATTAAGACCTATAGATTTCAATCCCCAGAATTCCCCAGCCAAGATTCCAAGCTTGGACACCCCTAATCTAATCAGTTATATACAAGTTACTCTGATTATTATCCATTTTCTTATAGATATAAAGCAGTTATCTCTGGAAATTTAGTCTATGCAACTCATTCAGTCTAACCCTGGCAAATAACAGATTCCCAGACCCAGGCATGCTGTAGCATAAATCTAATTCATATTTGTAATACAATACAAACTGAACGTTTTTAAAGCCAAGACTTTTTTTTTTTTAAGTGAGGGCATCATTTCACACTTTATGGAAATAAGCATAAGATTGCTGGTCTGCCTCCCACAATCCTGGCAATAAACTATGGCACAGTTGCTGGGCAACAGCAAGAATTATGAGGAAGCAAAAATGAAATTGAGAATGTTAATTTGTAGATGTCTTGGTAAAGAGTATTTGAATATATACACAATTTTAAAATGCTTTTTGCGTAGTAACAAACAGTTGGCTGGGTGACACAATTTAACCTTGCAGATTTTAATTAAATGCAAATATACCCATTATCATCCAAAACCTCTGCAAGTCAAGTTCTGGGATGGGAAGGGTTGGGTCAAGCAATGCATATAAACTCTTTTAAATACATAGTTTAAAACTCTTGCAATTCTCTTTGAAATGTCTTGTCCAATATGAAGTGACCTAGTTCTGTTTCATATTCACTCATCATTTCCAACGTTTAATCTCTCCTGAACTTTTAATGTTTGGTCATGAGTTAGAAGGAGTTCTGGAGAAACATGTACAATGAAATACATTCCAGGGATCTTATAAGCCCAGGATTCCTTATCCTGGTATTGCAACCATCTAAATCAGTGTTTCTCAACCTCAATGGCTTTAAGATCCCAGAAGTTGAAGTTCATACATCTTAAAGATGCCGAGATTGAAAAATACTGATCTAAACAATAACAAGAAAACAAGTAAAAGCAAAATCTGAATTCTTCCAATGTGCATTTTATAAGGAATTATTCAGAGACTGAGATACCCAGTATACTTGTTATATTTTGTTTTTGAAAATAACTGATCATGTTCTCTCTTCTTAATTTTCTAGTAATTTTCTTACCTAGCCTGGATAATGGTTTTATTTAGTATGTGTAAGCCATGCCTTTGGAATTTGGCATGTTAATATGAGGCTGTTAATAGGTTAACTGTCATTAATCACACAAATAGTTTCAATGTTAAACATATCTGAAATACATTACAAAAGGACTGTTCAATCAGTCCTATTATATGGCATTAAATATGCAATTCTTGTTGTCTACAAGAGGATGAATATGATCTAGGAAAATAAACCAGTTCGTTTATAATTTTTCTTATTTATTTGCACTCTCTTGTGTACACTCACAGGGACTTGATATATATGTAATTCTGCTTTTGCATACTACCATTTTCAACAGTCTTTAGATTTCCTGCTTCCTGGTTGATTCCACTCATTTTCTTATGCTGCCCCTTACTGGATGGAATTGCCCACAACAATTCTGTTTTCTGTCAAACTTTGCATCCATTCAAGGAATATTTTGGAACAACTTTTTCTTGACATTGAAGTACATAAAACTGAATGCTTATCCAGCTTACACCACATTTATTTCAGCTTCAATCTGCCCATCATCCAATCGGGGCCTCCTGCTTATCAAATGAATATATATAATATTTAGCACAAATAAAGACACTTTGATGGGCCCATCATGTCTTTCAGAACAAACAAATACAGTCTGCTTTTTTAAATCAATATTTTCTAAAAGCACAGCAAAATTTTGAGAACTTATTATACTAAGACTATTTAATCTACCTGCTTGAGAGGACTGCTATGGCAAGAAAGCATAAAAAAACTATTTCTAAGAAAATTATGTATGAAGTTGAACAATACCCACATGAAGACTAATGTCAAGATTTCCATGATCTTATTGGGACCTATTTTCTTATAATTTTCAACCTTGAGAAATGTAGCTTATATTTTTTTATTAGAGTTATTTGCATCTATAATCCAAAACAAAAAATTGCAAGATATTGTCTAGAGACTCTAGAACAGGCATGTCAAACTCGCGACGTCACGTGACGTTGCGCGACGTATCGGAGCTTTTTCTCCATTGCCGGAAATGGGGTGGGCGCGGTTTTGGGATGACGCGTCCGGCCCGTGGGCCGGCAGTTTGACACTCCTGCTCTAGAACATGCAATATTGACATGCTTGATATTTCACTCTTTGCAATTCAACTAACATCCATCTAGTTTGCAACTAAACTCTGCAGCACAACGTATTGAATTGTTGCCCTATGTTCTCACATCAAAATACAGGAGCCTACATACCGGAGTAGTCAGTTCAGGAGTGGAGATTGGAGTGCATGCACTATTGAGTTTCACCCCACTTCCAAGATCAAAGTCACAAATTTTTACAGGTGATACCTGAAATGGAGGAAGAAGGACAAACACATATAAGTCAAATCACCGAGGAAATAAATCAAGCCTAATGAAAAGTAAACAGGTAGAATTACAAAGCACCGGTGCACCTTATTGGGAGATTCACAGAGTATATTTTCAGGCTTCAGATCTCGATGTGCGATACCTAAAAAATAACACAGAAAGACAATGAGTCATGTCCAAAACAACAATGCCAAAAATAGAGAAAATATTTGCTTTCTGGTGTTTGCAGCAGCTACTAATTCCATTGCACTTAAATCATATTTTAAAGTTACATTCAAACTTTGTGAAATATTCCTGGATATTTTCCAAATAATTGTACAGGAGAAATAATAAGCATTAGAATAATGGCATTAAAAATAATATTAAAAAAGAGTTCAGCGGGACGCTTTAGCTCTTCACATGAATCTGGAACTCCCACAAATTACATAGTACAATCCAGGCATTTAAGAAGCATTTCTAACATACAAAATGAAAGGTACTGGCTAATGGACTATTTTTTTTATAGCTCTTGATAAGAGATGTATGTATACTTGTAATACTGGTACCCTTTTTAAAGAACAAATAACAAAATACGTCCCCTTTATAAACTCTTCATGTTTGTCAATACATGGATACCTGCAATCACTGGCTCCTTCACAGCTAAACCAGAATTCTAAAGAGTCCTGAGGAGCGATAACATAACTTCTAAAGTCAGTGCTTGCCTTGCATTTCCACCCACACATTGAGTATTCACATCTGTGAGAAGAAAACCTATGAATCTAAGTTTCCAAGGGAACTGGAAATGTATAAGGATGTGTAGATCTTCAAAAGGACAGTGTTCTTTTTTCAGAATGTTGACCAAAGCATTTGTTCAACTGGGAAACAAAATGGTGCCCTGCTTCTAACCAGAAGGCAATGGGGTGATTGCATTATATTGTGCAACTGTTAACATTTCTGCACAGAAATAGCAGCCTGTGTTAGTGAAGCGAACTCGGGCACATTCATATAAGATGACTGCGGATGAACTACATAGGCTTAGGCCACTGGTGTTTACTTTTGGTGTCGGTAAGAAAAAGCTGTGATAATGGAAGGGCAGGCTGGCTTCAAAATATTTTGTAATTGCATTTTCAGTGTTCCCGCAACTGCACTGTCCTCTTCATGCAGATATTATAGATGTGTGGGAGGCAGACTCACTTCAAATTTAATTATACAGGGTTGTTGTTTTTTACTGGCCACAGATTACATAGAAAGAATCTTGTGGATTTAAAAACTTTTTTTAAAAAAATTGAATTTATCACCTGTACCACTAAGTTTCTCTGTTAAGGTAACGTAGTCAGCAAAACTTACATTACTTAGATCTGTGTCATTAGAAATGACCATTTACACAATTAATGACTCTCCAACCGATGGCTTTCTAGCTTGCACTTAAATACATCTAGTGGAGGAGAACCACGACTTCCCTTCATAACTGGATCAAGTTTCAAATCGCTCCTATTCTTATGAAGTTTGTTTCTAATATTCAGCTGTATTTCTGCCTTCCAAAACCTTGAATCCATTGCTCCATATCCTAGAGAAAGTATTGACTTTCTGAGTGACAGTCTTAGCTATTTGCAAAACTCTACCATAATCTTTTCTTCGCAATTCTCATTTCATTCTCTTTCTTTATTAGACTTCATTTCTATTCCCCAATCATCCTTATTGCTTTTACTTTTCCTCGTTATACTGACTTTAAATTGTTATTATTAATGAATAGCATGGCACGACTGTACCATTCTCAATAATGGATTGGAAACTGGAAACTTAAAGTATCTTTACAACCTTATGGTAACCAGGTTGGGTTGCACACATAATTCTGTATTTGTTTTAAAATAAAAAAAAAATCATCCATGCTGCTTCATAACCCAGATCTGTTGCCCAGCTTCCTCCAACATACCTGCTTACAAGGCATGTGGGCCACCTTTAAGCACAAAGTAATGAGCATTATTCATTTTCTCCAAATCCCCTATAAGTGTCATTTATACTGAATCATCATGCCTACGCAATAGCTCAATAGGGACTATGTGCATTCACTGTACCTCAAAAGCCAGCAACCACAGTGTCAAAACCCTTATGCTATTTATGCTAGAAAAAGGCATCCAAAATGGTTAAACACAGAAGTATACTTAATTTCATGTTGATCTTTTATGTATACAAGCAAACCTTGCCTAGCTGATGGCTGACAAGCTTGGCAATGGGAACGTCTTATGTTTTTACCTTTTGTGTGCAAGAAATTCAAAGCGCAGGCAATGTCTCTCACCACCTGGCTGGCCTCCCTCTCATTAAAGTGCTTTTGCTTCTGTATATGAGTCAGGATAGAGCCTATAGAGGAAAGAGGGCAGGCAGATGGTTTTTTTTTTTTAAAAAAAGGCAGTAATACATTTAGGCAAAACATCTGAAGACACCAAACTCTATAATAAGCATAGACATATTAGGGACAACTAAATTGCCCAGGGTCCTATCTCAACAAAAAAAAAATAGCAGCAAAGGTAATTACTGAAGAGAAATTGATTTTAGAGCCCCCACATCACAGCTCAACAGGTTAGAAACCATGCGGACTGGTTTGTTTTCTTCAGAAACAAGTGTGACATTTACTCCAAAGTTGCTTATACAAGATTAACTATTTTAATCGGGAATGAAAAGTTTAATCTAGAGTGTTCACATTTTCTGAACTACCCCCCATCAAAGACTAATTTTGAATAACATGTGGGATATACAGGTTTTTTTACCGTGATATTATATATGATACTTTGTCACTGCAAGAAGGACACATAATCTGTTTCCTACCTTCATATTTTTTAAATCTGTGACCAGTTCTCCAAACTAAAAACCACAAGTCTTCTGCCTTTTACTATAAGGTAATTCTTCTAAGCGACTTCAATTTGTTTTTTAAGAACCACCCCAATATTATCTGGATAATATTTCAGCTTCACACATGAGTACAATAATAATCTTTAAAATAGGCTAGGAATGAAAATCCAAGCATTATGTAATATAAGATAAAACTACATATTTCTGTGAAAAGTTTGAATTATTAAACTAATGCAGGATCAATGTTATCGCAAAGTTGGGGGGGGCAGAGACAAAGGAAGGGGGATACATACTTACCTCCTCGCAGTTTTTCAAACACAAGGTAGTATCTTACATTATCTTCAAAAAACTCTATTAATTCCAAAATGTTCCTTAAAAACAAGGCACAGATGATCATGCTAAGTCTTATTTTATTAATACATCAAAAGGCACAAGTATGCCCAAAAGTGTTATTTGAAATATTCTGATGTTTCCAGATAAACAAAAAAATAATCACATTGGTCTAATGCTAAAATCAGCAGTATGAATATGTTTCTAAAATTAATCAATATCTTTAATAAATATGAAAAATAATTCACTTGTTTTGTACTCTCTCTCATTCCCAGGCATGCATTATTAAATAACTAATAGGAGCCAAAAGGAATTGAACAATTTTGGTAGAGGCAGCTATTTCAAGTTTACCTTTTTGCCCAGTTCTGCTTTCTACGCATATACCAAGAATAAACAACTGCTGCAAATCTTATTTTGTGAAATTTTTAAGATAAGAGGTTTTATTAATACTGTAATACTTACTTATTGCCCTGACACTGATACAAGGTTTCTACCTCTCGAAATACCCGACTCCGACTATGTCCAGCATTTTTTTCAATTATCTGTTGCAAAAATGGAAAGGTTTTTTTTATGAAAACAATTCTTGCAGAATGATTATTGCATTATATCCAATTCTGTCTGCCTGCCAAGACTGGGCTTTATTGACACATCAAAAATCACTTCTTGCACCATTTTACAGATCCAATCAACCGTACGCCCTCCAGATGAGCTTTCAGGAGCCTTCATGAAGCATTGGGAAGTAAAGTGAGGGAAATTCCTGTTGCAGGAGCAGAAAATTTTGCATGATGCTGAACCTTGCCACTGACATGGTCTTTTAATTTTAATACGTTGAAGAAGAAAAAACAGAGCTAGTATCAGGTGGGGAACTATGGCCCTTTTATAACTTGTGGACTTCAACTCCCAGAATTCCTAATGCTAGGTCAGGAATTCTGGGAGTTGAAGTCCACAAGTCATAAAGGGGCCATAGTTCCCACCTCTGTCCTAGTTATTAGTGTAGTTAATAACTGGCTTCTTGTAGGAAGCTTTCATAGAGGAAATCACATTTTTAAACAATAATGCTTTTAATCAAAAGGAAAATTGTGATGCTTTCCTCACCTTAACTGCATATTCCTTTCCAGTCTGCAAGCTAAGTGCTCCCTGTACCTTGGCATAGGAGCCTTCACCCAGCATCTCTGCAGTGAGCTGGTACAAATCTGCCAAATAGTAATAGTAAGAATACTCCCAAATATAGAAGGAATTAACGGTAGATAGTTCAGTAAACTTAGTGCTGATAATAAAATAAAAACACATTTGCTAATAAACAAGAAAAAGTTCATCAAGAAATTAAAAATGACAACATGGGAGAAAAGTTTTTCATGTGGAAAACATCACTTCTGAAAGGTTGGGATCCTCTCTATTTTATCTTGCAGATTTTAATTGCTAATGGTTCTTTCTTTTCAATTATCTTGGAATAATATCAATGAAATATGAAATCATGCAATGTGAATTTCAACTATAGGTAATCCTCACTTAATGATCACAATTGGGACCAGCAATTCTGTCACTAAGTGACCTAGTTGTGAAGTGAAACATGACCACAAGGGACTTACAACATCAGTTCAGCCAGGACCATTAAAGGAATCACCTGTGGTCACTGAGATAACACATGATTTGCATTTTTACTGCCAACGTCTCCATTGACTCTGCTTGTTGAAAGCTGGATGTGAAGTTCACAAATGACAATCATGTGATCACTGGATATTGCAATGGTCATAAATGTGTACTGGTTGCAAAGCACCTGAATGGTGATAATATAACCTGTAATAGTGGTAAGTTCAAGAACCGGTCATCAACTTATTTTTTCAACACTCATAATTTCAGATGGTTGCTAAATAGAGCTGTTGTTAAACAGGGAGCACCTGTATTTTGTTCTTCTACAGCAGGGGTGTCAAACTGCCGGCCCGCGGGCCGGATGCGCCATGGCAAAACCATGCCCATCCCACTGCCAGCAATGGAAAAAAACTCACGACACGTGACATGACGTTGCAAGTTTGACACCCCTGTTCTACAACAAAGCAAAACAAGGACAGTACACAACAAGTAGAAAAATGTAAAAAGTTGTTCTTTTAACCCAGTGTTTCCAACTTTAAGATGTGTAGGCTTGAATTCCCTAGCAAGCCATGCTGACTGGCTTTCAATTCTGGGAATTGAAATCCATGCATCTTAAAAGTTGCTGTGATTGAGAAACACGTTTTCACTACAAATCAAAGTGCAACACTCTTACTAAACTAAACTAAGACTACCCATAGGGCAGGGGTCTTCAAACTTGGGCCTTTTATGACTTGTGGACTTCAAATCCCAGAATTCCTCAGCCAGGGTGCCTGGCTGAGGAACTCTGGGAGTTGAAGTCCACAAGTCATAAAAGGCCCAAGTTTGAAGACCCCTGACATAGAGGATTGATAACAAGTAAACAAATCTACACAAGATCAAAATTACACCCAAACAAATTCCAAGCAGTTATAAATCCAACCTTCAAACCTTCCAGGGAAATGATCTGTAGCTCTTGTTCTCTTTTTTTTTCTCCTTTTGCCATTGTCTGATATGGGAAGAGGCTGGCTGTTGATTATCTCTACACAGCAGAAAAAGTAGAGCAGATCACTTGTTTTTATTTTTTTACAGCAAATATGTGAGAGAATAATATGATTTCATACTCTTACATTTCTAATGTTCTCTTTTTTAATCTAGAATTTATTTTCTCTCCCAATGTAAACAACTAACGAGAAGGTAACACTATTTTCAAGCAGAGCGGCACAACAAAATAACAATAAGAAACAATGTACTTCTGCTGTGTAGCAGCATTAAACTGTGGAAACAAAACTACCCCCCAAAGTGTTCAGTGCATCAATTACAAAACATGGGGTGCCCATACAGCACATCGTAGATCCATTTGGAATAGTTCTTCACCATTATTTTTCACCATTTCAATTGTTAAAGCCAAGAACGGGACCAACTTTTTCAGACAATGTAAAATAATTAAGAGATAATGCTGGGGATGGAGGGAGGGGGGGAGAGAATTGGCTTTGTACCAAGTTTTATCAACTCCAGGCAATGGAGCTATATAAAAGTGACTGCATGAATTATAGTGTGAAAAATCAGCAGGAGCCTTAAAAAGATATTTGGAATGCAAAAATCCATTCAGCAGAAATAGTACTGTATATAGTGAATAAAAATCTTATGAAAGTCCAAAAGGATAGCAGGAAAAGTGTCTGGGGATTTTTGTTGCCACTTGATTCTGAACTTTTTTAAGTTAACGGTGGTATAGTGTGAGACTTTCATCCCTCAAGGTGAAATGTAATTTTTGCTGAATGTTCATTTGAATGGATTTTTGTATTCTGAAGGCCTGCCTCCATTTTAAAGTTACTGAATTCAACTTGTACTAGTGTACTAGTGTTTTGAGGTTTATTTTCAGAAAAGAAAGAAGTTTTTAGCAAATGTTAAATAATTATTTGTTTATTAAGTGAATTAAAAAGTGTAATAACTTCCCCATACCAAGTTAATAGTTTGTCCCACTCAGGAAATTACTGTTTTATTCAGTTCTGATCAATCTTGGTCCAAGAAATATATTTCTTCTCTACAGTATCTATACTGGGCCAGCAAGTGTAGAGACTATTTCAATCAGTTTTTCCCATCTGACACATCAAAGGTTAAACACTTTTCTTTCACACCAGAAAAAAAGCTTAACTCATTGCTATATCCAAGTTGTGCTCAGACAACAAGTGTTACCTTTGCTATTTATTCTGTGGTTTCAATCAGAAATGAAAGACATATCCTTGTATGACCTATAATTTCCTAAATAGTTTCTGCTAGAATGAACCAGAATGACCTTGCCATTTTTTTTATGTGTAAGATGGCAATCAATTGTTTTACTACAATGTAATTATTGTACCACCTTCCCTTCTAACTTATCTTGTAGTAGGTTTGCTTTAAAATTATATTAAATGAGCCTAAGAGCAATTGGCATTCATCTTCACAAAATTTCTAAGGAAACTCAAGGGTGTTAGTAGAGCCTCATCTGGATTGCATTGGGGCTGACTCTTAGAAATTGTATGGACAACTGTCCACAACTCTGACCTGTTCCCAGCAGCAACCCATAATGCTTCCAATATTGCACTGGCAATGAACACATTTATTTTTCTTGCCCATTGTCTTCCCTTCGTCTTACGCCCTCCTCAATCTTACCAAGCATAGCCATTTTTGTTACTCTATCATTTGCTGCATTATATGTCCCACTGATTTAGCTAATGCTTACTAAAAAAACAAACAAACCAGAACCATACAAAATGAAGACTTGAATTAGCAGACCTTGACCGCTAGTTTGTAACAAAGGAGAAAAAAAAACATTTGGTTTCCTTTGCTGCCATCTAATGGTTATCTAGACTTTTGCAGTACTGTACACTTTGCGAAATTGGTATTCTTCAAAATATTAGGCAAGGTGTGGGTGGCAAAGAGAACCACTGCTTCCTGTGTCTTCACTATGTTTATGCCTCTGAGTAAACTACTTTTAAGCATAATTATATCAATCCATTCCATCAGAAACAAAAAGACTTTATATAGTACGTTTCCACATTTTCCAACATCTACAAACACTGATAGAGCAAGCTACTATATAAATAGGGAGCAAACCCCATACTCATTTGCACTGAGTGTGCAAAGTTGTACCCAATCGGATAATGAAACATCTAAAAGCAAACAACCAAACTCAGACAGAAACAAGGACTACACACCAATAGCACTCTATTGAACACTTTAAGGGCAAGATGTACCCAGAAATAGATCTCAGCTCAGTGGTTTAATATTCAAAGCAGATACCTGATTTATGCTGGATGGGTTTCACTGAATAGAAGGCTGGTGGAGCCTGGCAACACATTTCATTCATAAATGAACTTGATGAAGGATTACTTTGTGACTGTAAGTAAACAAAAAAGTCTCTATTTAGTTCTCCCAATTAATTCTCTCCGTGCTCACTGTGGCCTATAAGATGGGATACAACAGATGGCAATCTATTCTTTATTAATCTAAACAAAACATTATGACTTGTTTGTTGTTGCAGAATTACTGTATATGCACATGTAAAGTAGACCCACAGCAAAGTTTCTGTTCCCTCCCTGTTCATTTCTTCTCTATCTCATGTTATATATTTCTAAAGGATAGATATCTTCCTAATGTTGTTAGCCATATTCAGTAACAATACAATTTATATTAGTCATGCCATGATTCTATGTTGGTGGCAACAATCTGAAACTATAATAGTCATACTTCAAAAGTTCACAAATTCCAGAAGAAAGCCAAAATATTTTAAATTAACTTCTACATTACTTGATCTTTAAACTGCTCAATATCTATCAAACATACACTCAATATCTATCAAAATATATATTGTATATTACTGAGATAGCATAACCTATTCTATAAACACAAAAACTTCAACTTCCGAGCATGATTCAAGATGCTGGTCCATCACCTATAAAACCCAACATGGCATATAGGGCATGGTCACCTGAGGCACTACCTGTGTCCCATAGTATCTGCCCAGTCAGTTTGATCTAACAGGTTTGGCATGCTCTGGGTTCCATCAAATAAACAATGCTATGTGTCAGGACTCTGGAAATGTGTCTTCTCTGTAGCAGCACCTGCCCTCTGGAATGGGGATCCCCACAAAATTCAAATGGCTCCCTATCCACTGCTATTCCAAAGAACTTTAAATAGCTGGCTCCTCACCCAGGCTTTTGATGAGGATGACTGATGCCATTTCTTCTTTTTGGTTCCCCTCCAGGTATCCTTTCTTTGCCTTCATTGTGCTATCTTGTACATTATTCTTTAATTTTGTTCAATCAAAGTAACAGTAGCATTGATTTCTATTCCTGAATGTGGCTTAACAATTGTAAGCCACCAGATTCAACTGGGTGTATTGGGCAGCATATACCAGTACATTTTATATTTTTATATATACAAAAATGTGAAATCTCAGTAGCCAGTTTTTAGCTAGTCTTGGCACAAATGGCCAGATTCAAATGACCATACTATGGATATACAGGTAGTCCTCGATTTATGACTACAATTGAGCCCAAAATTTCCGTTGTTAAGTGAGGCATTTGGTTACGTGAATTTTGCCCTATTTACAGCCTTTTTTGTCACAGCTATTAAGTGAATCACTGCAGTTGGTAAGTTAGTAATCAGGTTGTTAAGTGAATCTGGCTTCCCCATTGACTTTGCTTGTGAGAAGGTTGCAAAAGATGATCCACATGACCTTGGGACACTGCAACGGTCATAAATATGAACCAGTTGCCAAGCATCTGAATTTTGATCACATGATAATGAGGATGCTGCAAAGGTCCTTAACAGTGAAAAATGGTCATAAGTCCCATTTTTCAATCCCATTGTCACTAAAAACAGTTGTAAGTCAAGGACTACCTGTATTAGGTGAAGGTCTAACTCTCTGGAAAAGTCTACAATGCTGAGAATGGTGGAAGGAAAGAGAAAAAGGTGACCAACAATAATGTGAATGGACTAAATTACAGCAGCAATGGACACATTGTTGGAAGACCTAAAGACTAGATTGGGAACAGAATATCATGGAGAAAATCTATCTATGTGGTTTATTATAGTTGATTGCACAATCAGCCAAATGTTTAGATTGCATTTGGCATTTATTTCCACTTATCAAATCCTTCAGAAGGACCTAGATAAAAAAAGCCAAATCTAGTCTAAACATCTGGCTGACTATGAAATATTATTAAATACACTACAATGTGAAACCATAGCTGCCAGTTTGTTAACTGGTGTTGGTCTTCATACACATCAAGTTCTTCCCAAGAACCTAGGTTGACATAATATATCAATTCAGTATATGTGCACATCCAACCAGTGTGACCTTTTATAATAGACAGCTGGAAATGTTGTCAATGCACAAATCTTCTAAATACTGTCCAATATATTTTGGTATGATACCCAGTTGGTACTACCACAGCGGGGTTATGCCATAATCTTTCGACCCTACTTTTCAGATCTTGATACTTTGTGAATTTCAATTCTATTCTACTATTCCGGGGGTATTGCCACATCAATTATCCATAGTTTCTTCTTTTAACCCCAGTTAAATCCGATATGAACCAAGACTTTATCATTTTTTATTTGAAACCCCCACAATATTTTAGCCTACTCATTTTCGACTACTTTTTAAACAACCATCATTTTTTCATCAGCAACACATAATTTTAGAGATGTTCTGTTGAACAGAAAAAGTTAGGTCTCGGATATCTATCGCCAAGGCATTATCTGTGTTACTCTATCTTAATATTTGTATCATGAGATGATCATGAGTTCATTAAACCTGCTTGAGAATTTCTGCACAGTTATGAAATTTATTGAAGGCATAAGTAAGGTGCAGTGTCATCTAAAAGATGGCATCAGTTGATAAAACTTCAGTTATATATTACTGAGTTTCCAGAGGTTTATAGACTTCATGATGTCCAAACACATTTAAAGCCAAGGTACACTATAATAGTTAGGCATTAGGCAAGCATGACATAGAAATTGCTTCTCTCACTTTATTTTGCAGTGGAAAAATCTCTGCTGGAATAGTACGTTCAGTTCTGGTCACACTTAAAAACCAGACATGAAGCAGCTGGAAGGATAACAAATAGTCTGATAAATGAGACATACAAAGCTTGACTGAGGGTGCACCGCTCAAAGAAAAACAATGAAATAAAGATTTGAAAACAGTTTTCCAAAGCATAGTTAACCTTGAAGGTTATATTTTTACTGGCTAAAGCAACCCCAAATCTAGATAGACTATTAAGAACAATTTGAGAATATAAGCATGCTGATTTACAGTATTTATTTTACAATATATACAAAATATAATATGATAATATGACAAGTCTTCCTCCTCCCTTGATGTTTAAATTAAGTGCAACATTTTGTTGGCCAGACTTAAGGAATATTCACTGTAGTGGTAGTCCAGGAATATAAAACAATGCCCTCAGGAGGGGATCTCTTTCTAGACATGTAACTTAAGAGTCTTCTCTCCCTATGTGTATGTGTAATTTGTCTGTCTGTCTCCCTCACTCTTTGAAGAAAATGAAACAGTTTTGATTAGGATTTCTATTTCTATGTATCATGAACCTTCGTTCAGCTGTAGTAGTCTCTGGAGAACTCATCTCTAAGAATAGAAAGAAAGAATATTTACAAGATTTCCCCCCCCAAAGCTTAACTATAACTTTTTAAAAAATAACATGGAACAGGGAAACATCAAAACATCCAAGTGAACCTAAATAGTTCTAACACAAACAACTGGATGTTCTTTGCATTTTACCGTAATGGGACTAGGGAAACTCTTCAGGTCCGAACTATTATTGGGCCTCATCAAAGTAGACATCTGGAAACAATGAAAACATCAGAATTAGCCCCAACCTTTAGAGAACTCTTAATATAGCTGAAATTCTCAGAATGCTATCTCCTTAGATGGAAACCCCAAGATTTGCAAGATAGCATAAAGAAAATTGAAGATAATTTTATTCCATTACTGGAAGACATAGCTAATACAAAATTTTACCAGATGATTTATACTGTGTTATATCAGTTCTTGATATTCATTAACTTAGAGCTTAATAGAGATTTTTAGTCTTTTAAAGCAGTATATGCAATTATTTATGTTTAATTAATGATGTCCTAACCTCCATGAAATTTTTAAAACCTTTGTTCATTCATCTATAATTTCTTCATTCTTTATTATCCTTTTAATATTATTTAGATACCATCTTTAATAGCTAATAAAAATGCCTCCCCAAAATAAGGCCTTCTCAAAAATGAATGCTCTAGCACGGTGCCTTTAAAATTAAAAGAAACAAAAACAATTCATTTTAGTATTCTGTTTAGATAACTAATAGGCTTGTAGCACAAAATACATGAATATGCGCAAATGTATGTTGCAAGAAGCTAATTTATTACCAAACTGCTTCTCTAATATTTTTACCATGTTATAGATAAATTCAATTTATCATATTTTACATTTTCATAGAGTAAGCTTACTCTTCTACAAACATGAAGTACTCTTTGAAGAGTTTATTTTGTGGGAAAGTGAATAGTTAAAGAGCAGAAGGAAATAAAATGAAAAAGATGCAAATAATAATTGACAATAAAAGTGGCCATTCACAAAACTGTCATTTGTTGTAATATATATATCTTTGCATTGTGAGCATCTTTTTCATTTTATTTCTCTCTGATCTTTCCTGTTACTATTCACTTTCTCACAAGCATCAAAGTAAATAAACTCCCCAAAGAGTACTTCATGTTTGTAGAAAAGTACTCTATGAAAATGTAAAATATGATAAATTGGATTTAATAGGTATCTGTAACACGGTAAAAATATTAGAGAAGCAGGTTTCTTATCACCCTACAGATTAATCAGCTAAAAATAGGAATTACTTTCATAATAAATTCAATTCAGCTTACTTCCACCAGAATATTATTCCATTGAAATAATATTTTGCTCAAGAATGGCCCCTTGAGAGCTGTAGTATAATATACAATTAAAATGTATTTGAGACATATGACATAGGTGGCTTACAATAAAATCATTAAAACATAAAAATGCTTTGTATCTTTCCTTCCATGGCGCCGTGAAAACCCATATTCCATACTCATTGGCTCATCTCCATCCTAGCTCAGAGCTTTGGGGAACATCCTAGTTTCCACAGCCTTTGGGAAGGCTAACAAGATTGGGAATGGAAGGTGCAGATCTCAGTAGGAACATATTCCAAAGAATCAGAGCCAGCTACATAGAAGGCATGCCTCCAAGGTCCCATCAGATGACTACGTTGAAGGGAAGGGACCTGAAGCATCCACCTATCTAACCTTGTTAAAAAGATAGGTTCTCTCAGAGAGAAGCAGTCCTGCAAAGAACCAGGTCCTCGCCAGGTAGTAACTTTATTAGTGATAACCAGTGTCTTGAATTGCACCCAGAAAGTAACTGGAAACTAAAATAGCTCATACAGCATCAGTGTAACACAGATGAAGTGTGAGGTGCCCAGAATTCCCATCTAAATACTCCCCCATCTAAAGTGTCCAACCAACCACTAGCAGATTGTGATTGACCTCAACTCAAAAAAAAAAATAAGCATGATCAAACCAGGTTAGTAAACTGATGGGAAAATCAGTAGACTAGATTGGGAAATGTTAAAAAAAATAAATCCAGGAGGCAACAACAAACCACTTCCAGATTTTGGCCAAGTGATGCTCACATATGTGGTCATTTCATCAACAGGAGTGAAATTTGTATTGAGAAGATTACCCAAGTAGATATTTACAGTATAATAAATGTATTTAGTTTTTGAAGATGCCATGCTTTTGTTGTTTTTATTGCAATAGATTAACACAACCAATCTCCATATACTGTTGTAAAATGATTCGTAAAAGGTCCTTGGCCAAATTATTTGTAAATATATCCAAGTTCAGGCACCATGAGAAAAATTTCTGTCTTTAAAAATACATATCCCAGATAAAAAAAACAGTGTCTGAATATAAAGAATAATGCCCTTACAAACCCCAAGCTCAGTATGTAGATTGGGCAATAATATTGCAACTAGGTTCTCACATCTCCTTTCTTTTATCTCACACACACCGCACACAAATCACAATGGACCCACAAGAACCTGACCTCCTGAGAACACAGGAGTCGAGGAAAGCTTGCAAATAAATGCCTCACCCCATTTTCTCTTTCCTCCTTCCCCCACCGCACCCCAAACTTGCACAACCATCCCTCTGTATTACTGGAGGAACCATGGCCACTTCCCATCCAAAGACCCACCCGGTACTCGAACCCCTCCCTTGACATCTTCCAGGCCCAGACAAGATTCCCACCATCACCAGCCCTGGCAGCGCTCCTGCCTCAGATAGTTTTACGCCCGCTCCTCCCCAGTGCTCAGCCGCTTCATCCACCTCTGCGGTTGCCAAAGCGCATCCCTTCCTACTCACAACCGGCTCCTACAGCCACAGGCCGACACGCTCTCAACAAAGGCGGAGCTATGAGCAATTGCCCCGGCCCCTTAGAAGCTTTTCAATCAAGAAACGGGTGGGGGGGGAGGAGGAAAAGTATGCGCATGCTCAAAGTTGCCCGGGCATGGGAGTCACGCTTTCGTAGTTGGAAAGGTTTGGAACCGGTTCCGGGAAAGCCGGGCTGGTCGTACAGAGTGCCCATGCGCAGAACGCACGAATGTACGGAGAAATGTTCCCTGCTCTCGGTTTTCTAACGAAATCGGGTGGTTTTTAGAGGTGTGGGGAAACCGGATGCTGCAAAACGTCTGCGGGTAGGAGAGCAGAAGATCTGTAGATCGCGCCCTTTCCTGCTAGTCAGTACTTTAAGAATGGGAAATGGCATGGGACACTCACACGCTGACGATCTTCTCCAATTTTAGAGTGTTAAAAAGGATCGTGTGGCGGGAGGAGTGAAAGGATGAGTGTAGTGATCAAATTAGTATTAGGGGGGGGGGGTCTCCTTTTTTTAACTACCTAGTCATGCACACCACACTAGTCATACTTTCTCGGCCTTCGCAAGAAGGCGATGGCAAGCCACTCCCGAAAATGCCAGGGAAATTTGCATGGATTTAGCTGTGTAGATTCCAGGAGTCAAGAGTACACAAAAAGTCACACAGTCCATGTACTAAAGCAGGAATTTTTTCCCCATGGTTTTTATTGCATGATAACACATTCCATGCATAGAAATACACAGTATGTAGAAATGTATTTGCTGGTCTTTAAAGCTGTTTTCTCCTTTGGTGGTGAGTCTTGGAGATGTGTTGTGCTACAGATCTCCTTTGGGGGGGGGGTTCCCCAAATTCTCCAGTTTGGTCTAAGTCCAGGAGTCATAAAAGAGCCAAGGTTGCCTACCCCTGGTCTAGTGGTTAAGGCACCAGCCTACAAACCAGGAGACTATGAATTTAAGTTCTGTTTTAGCCATGAAAGCCAGCTGGGTGACCTTGGACCAGTCACCCCCAGCCCAACCCACCTCACAGGATTGCTCTTGTGGAGGAGGAAGGAAAATGAGAAACTATATGTCAGGCACATCAAACTCAAGCGTGATGTATTGCGACTTTTTCCCCATTGCCGGCAATGGGGTGGGCGCAGTTTCGGCATGACGCATCCGGCCCATGGGATATGTTCACCCCCCTGAGTTATTTGTAAAAATAAAGACAGGAAAAAATTCTTTTTATGACTCTGTAATCCCTTAATTCAGAGTAGAGTTGGGGTGACTGTAGATCAACATTTACTGGCTGGATACCCTTCCTGACACCTACGTGGAGTTCACAACAGATATTTTATCTTTGCATCCTGAGAGCAAAACATCTGTCGCTACTAGAATTGAATTCTCAACCTCATGAGGCAAGTGTCTTCACCAGTAGGCTACTCTAAAGACAGGAAAAAATAAAAATATAAATAAATCAAGTCCCTACAGATAGGGTTTGTATATCAGTGTTGTTGGGGAAAAGGCCTAGAACTTAAGGTTGTTGCCAACCTGGGTTTGAAAGCTAAGCAAGATCTAATCTAATTCATGGATTGGGTTGCCTAAGAGTAGTGTTTTTGAAATTAGGTCTTTAAGATATATGGACTTTAATTTCAAACATCTTAAAGATGCTGAATTTGAAAAAGATATGTAGATTTTAACTTCCAGAATTCTAGGACTCGAAGTCCAAACATCTTAAAAATTGATAAGGTTGAGAAACTGCTATAAAATATTACAAGTATTTGGGTTTTTTTTTCCCTTCAACAAATAATGCATTACCTCTTTGACCATCAAGACAGATTTTTTTTTCAAATACATGAACTTTACCATAGAATCAGGAAATATCAACTGGAAAAGAATAATGCATAACCACTGTGTACATTTTGTATTCATTCATTCTCATTATAATATAAAATCCTTCCTAGACTTCCTTTTGTTGCAATATTGTAGAAATGGATTATCTCCTTGTTCTTTGTCCATAAAGGTGTCTAACTTGATGTGTAATAACACTCTGAACTGAAATGATCCTTACTTTACCAATCTCTTGATTCACCAGCTTCTTGGATTATTTATTTATTTACAGCATGTATATGTACCATACAGCAGTCAACACACAATTATTTTTTTTGAATTTGAATTTTGAATTTTATTATATTTATACCCCGCCCTTCTCCCGGGGGACTCAGGGCGGCTTACAGCCAGTTTAAAAACAATTTAATACAATACAAAATACAAAATTTAAGAAAATGATTAAAAATAAATATTTAAATAGGCCGCTTCTACTAAAATTTAGTTAAAACCAATTTAAAATACCCCTAGGCCAGTCCTGCCCGCTGAAACAACCAAGTCTTGAGGGCGCGGCGGAAGGAGGGGAGAT